AGACAGTGTTTCATCGGGATATCCAAACACCGAGAAGAGAGTTGAAAATACGACGCGCAGTGGAGTATTTGTGACGAAATTCGAGGTGTTTGGATAGCCGATGAAACAGTACTGTCTCGAGTGTTTGATTTATCTCCTCAATCGAAACAAAAACCAAGGAGTAAACGGAGAAGTAAAATCGTCAAAATCTAAGCTAATTGAGACCGGGTATCCAAACCTCCTTCACGGTCGTGATTTTCCTTGTCTTAACTTGGTTAATCATCGATGAGTTTGAGAACATGTAAATCCACAGCAGGCAGTTAATCTGTCCATGCCTTTTCAATACTCTTGAGAATTCTTGCTTTTAAATTTTCAAAGTCACGTGTTTATGAAGGAATAATTTTTAAAACAAAAGAACAATTCCGTAGAGAAGATCACGTGGTCTGTAATGAAAAACAAACCGCCCAGGCTAAAGAGGTCTATATTCAGTTTGATCAAAAACTGAAGCGCCCATAACTAGGCACGTCGTGTGAAATATGATAGCCCTATAGCCCTATAGGCTAAACCGCCCAATAACTGCATAAAYACGGGCGATAAAAAAATTACGGCTTTCTTGCCATCTTGCCATACCATCCAGTAATGTGCACAACGTGTGCTTCTTGGCTAACAGAAAAAATATCAGTTTTCTCCCATTTTGACAATTTACTGTTCTACTGTTGATATCCTTCATTATATTTCAAGTTCATGAAGACTAGCTTACACCAGACTCATTTTTCAAGATTGTTCAAGTAATTACGTGCGTTAATAGCAAGGAGGTGGTGTGGCTGAGTGGCCAGGGCGCCGAACTTGAAATACCGAGGTCGCGTGTCCAAGTCCCGCTCTGACCGCTGAGCTGGAATTGTTTCTCGGTAGACCCTGGTTCAACTCCTAGGTCATGTTTGCACATAGCCAACTGGTCTGCCTCCCGCCAGTTGGGATTTTTACGACTGTCATGCTTAGTAGATATATCTGTTTCTTTCAGTTTAAGTAGCATGCCCGTAAACTAACTAGGTGTAGCTGAGCGCATTGACTACATTAACAACATCATTTGAACAGTTTATACCA